ACTTTGTTACGAGAGTATAAAAAAAGAAATCAAAAAGACAGAAAAAGAATTATGTAAGAAAGTGCGCATTTTATAATCTTGCAACTCGCAGGAATCAAAGCCCGAGATATACCTAATGGCGCAAAGCGTCAACCAGCGATCGGAATCCAAGCAAAGAAGAGGTACTTTTCTCAATAGTTGTTTCTTGACAGATCACGAGGGAGTCGTATCAAGATATCATGTTATTTTTGTTCAGTATTGTATGGCATTTAGAACGACTCGATGCATTTTAGGTGGAGATCTTAAATTGAAAGCATACAAAATTCAGTTTGTACAAGAACTGAAGCCGCTCCATCTTCTCAAGCCACATCGTTTCGCGCTATGTGCTCTTCACAAGCGATCAATGGGTTTATTGAGAGAACACTTCTGTGAGCAGATAATTTTATGTTTGGGGCCGTTCGATTGGCCACCAAGATCGTGGGATATAACATCGTTACATTGTAAAGTCGCAAGTCTAAAGTCTATGCTGACAATTCCGCCTCGATTCAGACCATGAGCAAAACATCACGCGTGTCATTTGCCAGTTACCAGTCGAAATGCTCGAACGAGTCATTGAAAATTGAACTCTATGGAGGGACCAGCAGTGACTAGCCAATATTTTAAGGAGAATGTCTCCAAGAAATAAATGGCAAATAATGTTCTTTTCCGAATGATAACAAACATTCCTCATTAAGTTTGAAACTTTTTTTTTTTTCTTTGAAAAAGTAGTGAACCTCAGAATGGATCACCTTTTATATATACCGACATAAAACAACAAAAATCATTATACTATGCAGTATATTGGAGTTGGGTGTAATATCGAGCCGATGTTATCTATTTTTGCCATACTACACGTGTCATATACTAATAAAATATTCTATGACATTCATTAAGGTATATCACCACATCACTAATCATATGGTGTGAAGTCAACAGAATATTTGTTATATGGGAGCTAGGTCAAGTTTTCGCCCTATTTAATCCATTTCAACACAGAGATATACTGTTATGAGTAAAATACACTCTCTCATTTGCAGTTGGCAAATATATTCTAATTATAATTCATTTCTAAACGAAACTCTTTCAGCTCGGTGATCTGTCTAATCCGGAATTGCGTATGCTCACAGATCAACTGGAACGCATACGTTTTGGTGGCGATGAGGCGTTCGTCAAGCGTCTGTCCATACGCGGACTGCTATCGGAAACGGATCAATATATGACCTATGATGGCTCGACAACAGCACCCGCCTGTCATGAGACTGTGACGTGGGTTGTCCTAAACAAACCCATTTACATAACCAAACAACAGGTAAGCGGAACATGAAATTTTTAATGTTTACTAACATTTTCATACTTATACTACTGTAATTGAAATCACGTCTCACACTTGTATGCACCGATGAGATTGGCGTACGCCAAATTACCTTTAAGGCACATTTTCAATATATTAATTATACTAAAAGCGAGTTTTGTCATCCTTAAATTCGTTAATTCTTTTGTTCGGTCGTGCAATTTTCGTTCGAGTGCTTCTCGTCAAATTATATATTTTATAAGCTGTCAAGAGCACTGCAGAGCGAATGTCAACAGAAATATATGAAAAATACATAAGCTTAAGATGTGCCTTAATGCCGTGTAGCCACAACTGATTTAAACAATCGCATTGGGATCCCCACAAGGCAGAGGACAGTGGTGCGTATGAGTAACATTTGTACGTGTGAGCAATAACAAAAGCAGTGACTACAAATGATGATAAATTGGAGTATACGAACTCGATACAAATTTAAAATTAAATTTTACTCCATACAAATTTTTTTTAAAATTTATTTTAATATAAATATTTACACTGGTAGCCTGCTAAGACTACAATTTTATTTTTATATCGAAATGTAAGACTTTTCTAAAATTCCAAAACTTTTTTTTTTTTCAGTAAATTACTTTGATAAATATTTTGGTTTCGAATTTTATCGACGCCGGAAATACTGTGGCAAAACGACATCACCTACGTAAGCTGATGTTGTTGACACCACTGACGGTGTGTCATTGATGAGCCGCTTGACACATTTTGTCTTACTACCTTTCTACAGCTCTTTATTATTCAGCCACTGGAATTGTTGGCGCTTCGAAGAAGTATGTTTCCGGCAGAGTGCTTGTGTATGCTCAAGGCAAAATATACACTCATGTATGTATATCCATACTTGCTTACAAATACGTATATTATATATGTAGCACGCAGCATGCGCGCAGCAGTCGGTCTGGGTTGTTGGTTACTCTGCGCTGTACTCACATATGCGTGATATGCCGGCCTTTGCGTGAGTCAAGCTCTTATAATATTCTCCCTTTCTGCCATATTTTACTTGTTGTGTGACTATCGGTTGTATACTTATCACGTTGGTGGCAAGTACGTACTTGCGTGTTGCTGCACTTGTTGCTGACTCCTTATGTGTCCTCGAGCGCATAAGTAGGCTTCTTTACGTGTTTCATTCATTCCTCTTTCACTGTTATCTTCTTTTCTCACTTTTTTGCATGAGAGATTGTTTCTTTCTTGGCTTAGTTGCTTAAGGAAGAGAGTTTGCTTGCTGTAGCAGACAATTTTAGACAAATTCATCATGTCATTTAATTAATTATTTACAGCTTTTTTCACGGTCGTCACAATATGACTTCTAATTATTTTAAATGTTGAAATGCAAACTTAAAATACAAATAAATTCCTTTATTTAGCTGTTTGTAAAATGAAATATTTCCGAAAGTAAGGCGCATACGTGCATGAAAACGCATTTCTTAGGGTGTGTTGAGAAATGTTGCATAACTTTTAAAATACAAATTTCAAATAAAATAAAACTTTATAAAGTTAAATTAGCGTACTCTTAGTCTTCTTCTCAGCTCACAGTTAGTGCCTTATAACAAAAGCCGTATAATATATCGTCCAATGTTCATCAATCGTTGGCATACACCATAGACTTGACGTAGCCCCACACAAAATAGTCAAACGGCGTCAAATAGTACGACCATAACTCGTTCAATAAACTGGGTTTTCAATAAATCGATTATGACATTCGCTATGTGGCTTGTGGCATCGACATATTGCCAAAGTACATGTCATCCAAATCGGACCAAAAAAATTCGGTTATCATTCAGCGATGGCGATTCCGGTCCTGATCATCACGGAAGAAGTACGTCTCAATAAAGCCGCCGGCGTATAAACTGCCACAAACCGTATTTTTCCTGAACGAATTGACAGCTTTTGAATCCTTCGTGTTGCTCCTTGCCTCAAATGTGGCAATTTTGCTTGTTTATATACCCATTAAGCCAGAAATGGGCCTCATTGGAGAACAAAAGATGGCCCGAAAAAGTCGGATCTTCTTAGATCACCCGTTATTATCAAGTTTTCTCTAGTTTATCGAAACAAGTCGAGTGCTTCATTTTCTGTAGATGAACCTTGGACTCCCAAGAAATCATTTACAGAAAGTACATCGATCTATCGATTGTTCCTATGTTAATAGCAACGAGATTTGTTTAAGGACATGGACGCAATCAGGATTAGCTGTACATCATAAATTCAGGACATTGCTGAGAGAATAAATTGCATTTGCAGCTTAATAGGAAGGAATAGGCAACATGTGTTATAGTAAGACTGTCGATATGTCACTGCTGCAGAGAGGCAAGACACAAGACCGAAGTTTATTTGCTTTCAGTGGTAATGACAAAATGATAGTGGAAATCAACTTTACGGTGAAACAAGCCATAATATGTACATTAAAAATGTAGCAAAATAGCACACGAGCATTCCATAGTTATTGCTCACTTACATGACAACGGAGCTGGATAGTCGAACGACGTTTATTTATTTATCGTCGTTGTATACACATATATACATACATATGTATTGAATAAGTTGAATTTTTTTGTAAGCATTTATGCGCTTTTTAGCCCTTGTTACAACCCGTTTTTGTGCTTCTCGCTGCTTCTTTATTTTTCGAGTGGCTTTCCCATCGAAGGCACAGAGATTTTCGTTTTTCGCTGAAGTTCGACCAATGCAGTGCCCGAATGTTTCCTGTCTTTTTTTTTTTCTGACTTCTTTCTTACTTATGCATTCTTGCTATCTTTTAAACGTTTTTCATACTTAACGCTGCGCTGCGTGGAGCATTTATCCATTTATATACTATATGTAGCGAATTGCCGGTGTCATTTCCGTAAGTCGGCATTGCTTGTAACCTCTTCCGCTTCCGGTGTGACAGATGCGAGTACAGTTTTCAGGCAGAAATATACGAGGTGTGTTCAAAAAGTATCGCGAATTTTGAATTTTTCGCGGGTTACGTATATTCGAATTTCGAATTTTTTGTGGCCTTATGTTGGTACTCTTGTCTGTCACTTATGCCGACTAGCCCGACCATTTTGAATGTTCATTTAATTGTTGCAGCTTTGCTTGCACGTGTTTTGGATCGTCTTCGATTTTTACCTACTCAAAAAAATGGAGCAAAGAACCTGTATCAAATTTTGTGTGAAAAACGAAATTAAGTGCGCGGATGCATTCCGAATGTTGACTGCGGCATACGGAGAAGCTACCTTGAACCGTAGCGATGTTTATCGGTGGTACAAAATGTTCTCAGAAGGCCGAGAAGATGTGACAAAAATTGGCTTTTGCACCACAGTAACGCCCATGCTCACACATCGTTGCTTGTGCGCGACTTTTTGGACAAAAACAACATACTAATGATACCGCAGCCAGATCTGGCCCCCTGTGACTTTTTCTTGGTCCCTAAACTGAAGAGGCCTATGAAAGGACGACGCTACGCTTCCCTTGACGAGATAAAGACGGTATCGAAGGAGGAGCTGACGAAGACAAAAAAAAAAAAATGATTTTTTGAAGTGCTTCGAAGATTGGAAAAACCGTTGGCACAAGTGTATAATATCTCATGGGGATTACTTTGAAGGGGATAAAATAGATATTCATGAATAAATAAATAATTTTTGAAAAAGCACAAAATTCGCGATACCTTTTGAACACACCTCGTACATATATACATACATGAAAGATAAACATCTTAACTTAATATTGGAAAATTTTTCGTTTAACAGCTGTGATTGAAGCTTAAATTTATTTGTAATAATTGAATACTTTCAAATATTTGTTTGATGGTTTATAAAAGTAATTTAATGATTTATAAAACTTTTGCATTCTTTATTAAGCTTTTGGTTTCTTTGTTGGTTCTCACTCGCGCATTCCTGCACAGGAAAGTACATGATTTAACTGCAATTTCCGTTGCGCGTGGGCGGCGGCATACGTTGACTGTTAATGGCATTGTCATTTTTCATAATTTTTCAGTCTCTCTCTCTCTCCTTCTTCCAAGCTATCAGCACTTTAAAATTTGTCCATTACAGATATTTGCAAATACATTACACACTTTTACCGTGTGCCACCTTGCCACCTTTTCGTTTACTTATTTTACACATTTTATGCTTTCGTTCTTTGTTTTACTAGTAATTTCCCGTTAGCAGTGGGCCCTGTGCCACTGCGGGCGTTTTAATTTGCTGCATTAAATATATGCCGCACAGTAGCGCAATGCAACGAAGAATGCTCCTCTACGTTCACAACAGATAATATTTCCGCATTTGCAGTGACACACGCACACATGCATACGCAGCATCACAGCAATCGTCCACACACACGCATATGTATATATATATATGTATATGCATATAGGCATTCTTTATTATCCTTTCGCGTGCAGCAGATACGTGGCATGCGCTCGCGTGCCTTAACTTCCGGCTACATTTTGTCTGCTTTGCATATGTATGAGCGCGAGTGTGCACAACGCTTTACACCGGCATATGAGCTTGCATACGGCGACACACACTTCCATAAGTAGATTAGTATGCTTTTAAATACAAGTAGTTTGTGTGTGGGTGTGTATGTGTATGTGTGGCTGTGTGTTTTACTCGTGTCATTTCGCACGCCGCTGTGTTGTTGGTACCCCGACGCGCCACATAATCAAGTCTCAGGGGCACCATTTAAACGCAGTACACCACAACCTGCCTCGTTTGCCTTGCTCCGTCTCTTCTCCCTCCTCTCCATTCTTTGCTTTATCGCGGCTTTCTTGCTTTATTTTTCACGTTTTTCGGTATCCACCACACGCTGCCATTCGCTTAATTAACATTTGCGTTACAGTTTTGTAGTTCATTTATTTAAGGTTCACTACAACGGCCAGAACACCTGCAAGGCACTACCTACACATACATACATATGTACATGGCTGTATGCAAACGAGTATATGGCAACGTATGCAGATATTTGCTCAAGCACTTGCCGGAACCCTTGTGCGCGTCGATGTGCATAATAACGCGCCGGGCGTATGTGTTATCATGTCAGTGGTAGCTAAAAAGGCAGTTAAAAGTTTTTAAAGCTAAAAGTCAATATGCCACTCATTAAAGCACTGTTAAAGCCTTAATTCCCTTACTGGACTTAAATCCGAAGTGTACCGAATTTAATTTACACGATGATAATATTGAATTTTCCTTTCACTTTCTTATATTAATATTTCTTATTCCAGATTTATTGGAGTTTGTGCTATGGTTTCAAATCTTTAATCATCAAGTTGGCTGAGTCATGTAGACTAATTAAGATAAAATGTGTTGACTCTTGGAAATTCCAAGTGTAGTCAGGTCCTTCTCCACCTGATCTCTACAAAGGAGGTGAAGCCTTCCTTTTCCTCTGCAAAAGATCATAAATCCGCAGAAAATTTCTCTTGAAAACTTGTAACGGCAACTTATCAGTTCATGATTCATGATTAGCAGGACGGGATGATGAGTGAATTGTAGAATTTGCTCTATGTTAGTCGAGACAGGACCTTATTTCTTAATTGCGTACTGTGTCCGGAATAGCACCTGTCGGCAAAAGTTAATCTGTGTTAGATTTTGAGGCTGACGCTATTGTTGGTGTTAATGCTGGTTCGAAAGACGAAATTATCTATGACTTCAGAGTTTTGATTGTCAACAGTTAGGTGAGAGCCTAGTCGCGAATGCTGTTAAATTACAGAATATATTTTGTCTTGCTCTCGTTCACTACCAGACCCAATTGCAGAACTAACGACGCGAGTGTTAAGGCCAATGATATCAATATCATCGGCGTATGCCAGCAGCTATATGTGTACTCTTGTAAAAGATTGTGCCTACTGTGCAGCTAAAATTATTCTCTCATGCAGTAAGTTTAAGAAGTCGCATGATAGGGAATTATTTTGGCTGAAACCTTCCAGATACGACTGAGCTTCTGGTGTTGCTCAACGTCAGTTAACAAGCCGCATCACTTTTGCGGGGATACCAAATTCAAATGCAGCTTTGAAATCGACAAAGAGGTTGAGATCGATTCCCATTTTCACGCATCTTTTTAAAGATTTTGGGTATAGTGAATATCTGGTCAGTTGTTGATTTTCCAGGCCTAAAGCCACACTGATCAGGTCCAATCATTTTGTTGACGGTGGGCTTTAATATTTTACACAATACGCTCGATAGAACCTTGTACGCGATGTTGAGGAGGCTTATCCCACGGTAATTGGCGCAGATTGTGGGGTCTCCTTTTTGGTGGATTGGGCGTGCTTTGCTCCTACAGCAAGTTCTGTTTGAAGGTTAGATCTAACCATAAAACTTGTGAATTTTTTCTAAAGACTCATACTTGTAAACGCGATCAAAATAGATTTAGATGTTCGCATTTATTACATTTTTTCGGTTTTCGCATTATATTGGTATCTTAAAAACTTAAGCGTCAATAAAAAAAGTCTTTCAACAAGGAACATGATTTTGATCGGTAAATTTAAATGGAAGCTCTATCCAATAACGGTTCGATATAGGCGATTCCGACAGATAATCGGCTTTATATTCCTCTCGAAGCAGAAGACAAGAGTGTGAAATTCAGTGCCCACTGACCTGCCTTTTCCTTGAGAGCTGATTTCTGGGAATACTTCCCCTGAAGTGCAGATCAACCAATCTACCTAACGTTTTCTACGGATAAGAAAACGAAAGACTGATGGGTCTAAAACCTTTGACCGACACATGGGACCTCTTTCAATTCTTTAGAATGAACGCATGCCTAAGCCAAGGCCCAAGAATTAATCACAATCTAATGCAGTTCGCATAACGTAAAGAATTGTTAAATTTGAACTGTTTGAACGAGTTAATCGTCCATTTATTAACATACATAGGTAACATTTATTTAAAAGGCCCGAAGAATGCGTAGTCCGTTCCAGAAATTTTGAGAGGCATCAACCCAGGGGAGTGTCTGCTTCTTGGGATGTCTTGACTACTCACAATCCAGCTAACGTTCTCTTCCTTTAAGTACCCCAAGAAAATGAGGTTTCCCTAGATACAATTGGGAGTACTCATATGTGACTCTGACTAGGAAAATGACATTGTTAATTTGTGCTTATAAGCGATTAATTTTGTACAACCTTGTGGTCCCTGTGAAGTACTTTTTCATGCTTGTGTGTAGTAAAAGTTGTTTTGGAGGGATGTATCACAGTTGGCTAACTAAACTACTGGTTATTATAGATTTTTGTTTATTTTGCAACATTGCAATGAGTATGTTTGCCGTCTTTATATATTGACAATGTGGCGTAATTTCATCAGCAAGTGTCTGACGCTGGAGCCTTGTGGCGTGGAGTGCAGAAACTTCAACTCCAATATGAAACTTTAGCGGCAAAGTATGTACATGTCAAGCATATGGGTGGGTACTCAGTGTGCTAACTCGATAGATTGGGCTGATAATTAATGTCTGGCAATTACCAACTTATTAAACTTTGCCGTGGATCGCGGTGCAGCAGACTAGAATAATGCTAATCCAAAACTAAAGGATGTAAATTTTGTATAAATTTATACTGACATTGAAAATGTGAGCAAAAAGTTGACATAAACGACATTCGTAACATGTTTTAACAGGGGTAATGTACAGTATTGGAACAGCTTTATACTACTTTTTGATTATATTAATGCAAATTACAAAATAGCTTAGCATTTACATGGACAAGTGTGATAGACAGACTAAGGCTTTATATTCTCCTTAAAAATCTCTTTTTTCAGTTGCACGCCCTACGACGCTTGATGCAAGGTAGCCCCGATCACCCCAAAGCACCGCTAGGTAATAATTATAGACCACCACAGCCGCTACTGCACCGGCCTATTCGAACCAACATCGATTTCAAAACATCTAAAGTGAATGGCAAAGCTGCATGTCCCACCATGTATCGCGAAGTGTATTACAAAGGTAAGCACATTAAGTTTGAATAATAGAAATAATTAAATTGTTAAATTTATAATAAAAATTATTAAATATTATTTAAATATTAATAAATATAGAAATATTAAACAGTAGTCATCTTAAAAGATACCTTTTTCCATTTAGGTTAACGCAACTTATTTTCTAAATTCTATTAATTTAAAAAGATAATTGTGTATATTGAGCACTTCTGGGTAATATCACCATTAACCCACCATGTATAAGAATAATGTGTTTTTTTTTTATTGTGGGCGCATACTTATGTACTCTGCGTTAGTGGCGAACAATCTAAACCTCTTTGAGAACAATCTAAACCCTTTACGTAAGGACTCGTAAGGCATATCTAGAACCAACAGAAGCGACATTTATATAATATTTAATGGTGGCGTTTTAGACTATACTACTTTTGCACTTAGCATATACGTATTACGAACTGAGAAATAAATACTTTATTCTTACACCCCACTCCCCCTTACCATATGGAACACAATTGGTTTATTCATAACGCAATGAATGTTATCTTTACAAAGAGAAGAATTTTGCAGAAAACTAGACCTAAGATGATGGTCATTTTAATTATTTAATCTCATAAAGAAACAACAAAGCGGTGAGGGCCCATGGATTTCCGGCCCAGGTATTCAAATTCATGGTCGGACGAAAGAATGCCTAGGGAATGGAGTTTAAGTGTGCTCTGCTCAATCCACAAAAAGAGAGACCACACAATCTGCGCCAACTACCGTGGGATAAGCGTCCTCAACATTGCATATAAGGTTCCATCGAGCACACTGTGTGAAAGATTAAAGTCTACCGTCGAAAAACTTATTAGACCTTAGCAGTGTGGCTTTAGACCTGGCTAATCAACAACCGACCAGATATTCAGCATGCGCCAAAGCTTGTAAAAGACCCGTGAAAAGAGAATTGACACACACCACCTCATCGTCGATTTCAAAGCTGCTTTTCACAGCATGAAAAGAAGCTTCATTTAAACCGTTATGTCTGATTTGGTATCTCCGCAAAACTAATACGGCTCACACGATACTGTTAACAGTTATAACTTCGAATTCGTAGATAATTCCGTCTAACTTGGAATCAGTATTAGTTGTCAGCTTCGAAATCCATTCAGAATACCTTTTGCCACCAAACTCTGTAAGTCACTCGTTATTCGCGTATTATTATATGACGCAGAGGTATGGATGATGGCAACAGTCGACGTTACGAGTTTTCGGGAGAAAAGTTGTGAGGAAGATTTATGGTGTTTTGCGCTTTGGCCACGGCGAATAGCACATTCGATGGAACGAAGTTATAAGACGAGATCGACATAGTTTAGCGAATTAAAAGACAGGGGCTGCACGGGCTAGATTCGACGCAGTACCCGCCGGGGGAAGCAGAGGAAGGCCGCCACTCCTTTGGAGATATCAGTTGGAGAAGGTGCAGACTACACTTGGTATCTCGAATTGGCGTCAATGTGGAAAGAAGTAACGGTTATAACCGCATGAGCGGTGTCTACGCCAATAGAGAAGAGGAAATGCCCCCTCAGTTTTTATGTCTGCAATAGGTCCTTTCCCCTCTAGTAGTAGTCGGTACACGACCAGGACTGTCACATTTTAATGCAATAAAAAATACACCTGTCAGGGATATCTTAGATTAAATTAACTTAATTTTTCAACTCCTAAATGGTTACCAAGTTACTATGCCATAATAGAAACTATTTAAGCAAATTGCTGAGTGAACAGTTATTCTACATATAAAAATATGTTTATCTTTAGAAAGTAAAGCAAAGATAATTGCTACGACAATAATGTCGAAATTACAGATTTATGGCGCGTGCTTCCAACTACTTTGTTTTTATTGCTGTAATTTGTAAATCTATTGCCATAATTGAATAATTTATTTACAAAAGTTTAACAGTAAAAACCCATAATCGTTTCAGATTTATTTTTAATTTATTTCATACATATATCTCACACAATTTGGTATATAAATAATCACTTGTCTTTCGCTTCATTTCCATTTCCCGGCAGCTACAAGTTGGAGACAGCATTGAGGCGTATCTCGGCAATAAATAGCAGCATTAGCAACAGCAATCAAAGCCAATCGCAGTTGCCACCACTTCAACTTACATAGTATTTAAATATAAGCATATATTTGCACACACTTATACAGACATATGTACGTAAGTACACGTAAATCGGCGTGCAACAGGAGCTTCCATAAATTTAAATAAATAAATAAATATTTATATTAGCATTGTAATTGTAACAAAATTATTGTATTGCATGTGCATAGCTGAGTTACAATGAAATACATATAAACTATACAGTTGTAGCAGCATATAAAAATGACGTAAATATTATCTACGTATGTATATGTAGTTGTAGAATAGCACATAAATTAGACTAAGAATATTGGCACAGCCAATAGCTATAGAAAATAAGTGTACAGAATTGGTGTGAAGAAAAATGGGCAAAAAGTAGCACTTGGCCTGCAGCGACACAAATACATATGTATATAATTATATATAATGTTGTAAATAATCAACTGCTATAAAAATATTTTTGTAAACAGGCCCACTGATAATACCAATAAGTAGTTAGTAAAAGCTACATAAGATAACGAAGTAATAAATACTAGCATAATGTATTGATATATTTATATAACATATATTTGCAAGTATTAACATTTCGCTTTCACCGAAACACATGAATATTGCCATGTATAAGGCAAACTCTTCGCTGCTTTCAGTCTTCTGCGTTCTTCAATGAAAATTCCACTTTTTATTAGTAATTGTTTTTTGGTTCAGGCTTTAATGGCTATATAAATAAGAAATAGATTAGCCTATGCAAATTTGAACCAACTGCAGTCCCTGCGGTGTTAAACTTGCCAAATTCTTATTATATCAATTATGGCACATTCTTAAAAATGGCATCTTTTAACTTTTCTAAAGAGTCCTACTGTTTCGTAGATCAAACAATTTTTCAGAATAGATAGAAAAGTTGCCCCATAGATCCTCACTAAAGGCCAGCCACTCTACGCTACGAAAAAGCACTTTTGCGGGTCGGTGAAATCATCGACCCATATTTCTTCAAAAATGATGCCGGCGTGAACGTAACTGTCCATAACGACCGTTATAGCGCCTGATAACCGACTATTTGATGAGTGAGATTGAAGCTCGTGACATTTGGTTTTCAACAAGATGGCGCTACTTCGAACATATCGCATCAATTAATAGATTTATTAGACTTTCCACTGTCGGGATATGTCAGGTCTTAAGTCTATGCGGACAATTCCGCCTTAATTCAGGTCTTGGAGCAAAACATCACGCGTTTCTTTCGCCAGTTACCAGTCGAAATGCTTGAACGACCCATCGAAATTTGGACTCAATGGATGGATCATCCGAGACGTAGCCGAGACTAACATTTGAAAGAGATAATATTCAAAAAGTAAATGCAAAAGAGTTTTCTTTCCAATGATAATAAAATTCCGAATACCAGAAATTTGATTCGGCACACAAAATTTAATAAAACTTTTTTGTTAGATATTTTTACTCATCCTAAAAAACGCCGAATGCACTTTATGTACTTCAGAAAGACAAGCGCATACTAAACACTTAAATACTATATTGATGTAGCATTTTGCATAGATTGCATTGACTGTCATACCAACCCTGTTGAAATATCCACTTTCGCCATTGATCCCTTCAACCGATTAGATTAAGCTCGCCAATCTCGTACATATTTATCCACATACATAAAAGAAGGCACAATTCAACATCTCGGACTTTTCTTTAGCTTTGCAGGCAGTCCCTAACATCAGAGATCCTCCACCATGGTTGCGCTTGTGCTAAGTCTGCCGGGTATTTCGGGTATCCCACCAATATTTGTGATGAATATCAGAACTATCCAAATTAATTTTTTTTCCTTCGTTAAAAATAACAGGATTGAATTTGTCTTTCCAACTTTTTAAATTTTTTTAATATATGTCTTGGACTTTCCAAACTCTGCTAAAAGTTTTGGGACTGGAAATATATAAGAATTATGATCCTTCATTTTCATGTTGGCCAGGCAGAATTTATGGATCAACGCTTGATTGAATTTACCATCAGTTTATATCTGTTCTAAAGGCATCAAGGTACGTCTCTTAATTAATGAATATAAGATTTGACAAAAATATTTACTTTAATCTGGCACTTAAAAAATAAACCAGAAGAAAGAAACTTGAAACCAGTTTTAAGCGACTAAATGAAACTAAACAAATTTTGTTCATTATTAAAAGTTCTCTCATGAATGACAAAGCGCTTTGAGGCGATTACAAGTTTATTTCGGCTATGACTCCTGGTTCGTCAAAAGTATGACTGTCGACGTGTTTCAACCTTAGTCTGTAATTGCTGAACAATGAAGGAAAAAAGGCCTGAATGTTCATCTTCTTCGAAAGAACTTTAACAATTTGCTTCTGACTACATTTTTAGCCTTACAGCAGAAATGATTAATTGGAAATGTCCAACAGTTGTTGTGTTTTTAGGAAAATATCTGCCATAAACGGCTTTAACACATGGTGGTTAAAATCACATTTGGTTTCAATTGCTCAGGTGGAAGGGACAATTTTTGAACTTAATTTGAATTCTACTTGATTTTAGGTTTAAACTACAGCCAGCACGAATCTCCCCAAAGGGCCACACCCGATGAGCAGATTGAAGCAAACTCCAAGGGTTCACTACTCCGCGTGGAATCAGACTTAAGTCTCCGGTCAGAGCTTGTAGCTTTTGCTACTACCAGTCACTCAATGGCTGTCGCTTAAACTTCAAATGTCTTTTCACTAGAAGAAAACGCATTCAAAGTCAATAATATGTCAGAACTCCTACAATTGTGGCAAGATGAACTTTGTTTGGGGAAAGTAGTTCAGTAGTTCTCCTACGTTGTACTCTAGGCTAACGCCCTCTAAAAACCGGGTCCAGTACTAGAACCCCGGATGAGAACGAAAATCCTACTCATTTCCATTACAATGTGAGCCGAGTATTGGGGCAACCTTCCTCATTGTCTCTGCAGTTTCCAAGCTTTCGCTGTGACCAGTCTCTCAATCGATTCTAATAATGGAATAGCTTGATGACATACCATTTATAAAGTGAGAATAGGAATATTTGACACAGCTTGCAAGCAAGTATGGCCGTTTAGCTGTCGGTGTGAATGTTCACCTCAATGAAATACGCTGCACTATTACCCTAGTAACAGTCACAGTAGTCTGGCAGCCTAAAGCTAAGCTTACCGGAGAACTACTTAAAGACTATTTTCCTCATATCTTTTTTCTTTACCAACAATACTTAGAAGCACCGAATAACGGTGCTATACCAGCAATAATTGATACAATATTATGATACCTTATTGAACTTTCAAAATGAATTCCTTTTTAAAAGCGATCAGTGCTTAGTGACAGCGAGCAGAGATATAGAAAAGAATCGATGGTGGCTATCTTTTTAAGAAAAAAAAAAAAATTATTTTTTTGCAACTATATACAACTAGCATACTTCTTCAATTAAAGAATTTTTCTATGTTAAAGATGTCTATCAATGTCGATATATTCCCAAAATTTCAAACGCTTTCAATTTATTCATTTTAAAGTTAAACCATTAGTTAATTGAGATAGCAAATAAATTTCTCTACTTAAAGTCGAATATTGATTTTTTCGCCTCTTTTTTGACTGCCACAGAATTGCAAATTATGGAAATTCTACTTTAAACTCAATTAGATCCATTTTACTATTTACGCTTAAAAACAAAAATTAATGCTAAAAACTTGAAACCCTTTACAAAAAAATGTAAATATCTATGAAACAAAAATTTCGCTGAAAAAAAGATAGACACACAACAAGTTAATTGCAACATTATTTAACACTGCTGACATAAACGGAATTTGTTTCAATATACACACATTTCAATTTATTAAACAAAATCTGCTCACAAATATTTGTTATGAAGTTGATATAAATTACATCAAATAATTAAGCGCCGTAGTTGCAACATAATTCTGACATATTTTCTGACATGTTTTTTCTCACTCGATTACCAATTTTTTTTTAACTTCTTTTGGCTGCACTTTTTGTTTTGAAATGATGTGATTTCTTATTGTTTGCATAATTAAGCCTATTTGAGTGTTTATTATGAGTGAATAATTGTTTGAAAAATATGTTCAGCAATAAAACACGAATTAAAGTGATAACCGCACACTGAGCGAGCAAAACCACAACACGATTGCACGTTTTATTTACAATTTATTTATTTCACTTCTTTTGCCATTTTTATAATAAACCAACCAATTTAAAAGAGCAAACTGCCATATTACAGCAAGTAAATAAATTACTTAATTATGTTCTAACATTAGTTTATGCAATGCAGCGCAAATAGTGAATAAAAGCATTTATTGATTTTTTCTTCTTCTTTTTTTTTTTTTTTTTTTTTTTTTTTTTTTTTTTTTTTTTTTTTTTTTTTTTTTTTTTTTTTTTTTTTTTTTTTTTTGTACACACTTCTTTCATACCTAGAGATAAGTTTGTGCAAGAATGCCACGCCAGCCACTAATGAAATTTGTGAAGTGTACGGAGACGATGATGCATCAGTTCATGAAGCACAACAATGGTTCGCTCGTTTCCATTTCGAAATTTCGACCTACTCAGTGGTCGACCAAAATGATACATATTTATTTATATATTTATTATCAAAAATATAAAAAAATAAGCTTTAGTTTGATTAAAAATACAAAAAAGCTGTTTCCACTAGTAAAACTTTTCTGGTTTCTCAACGAAAAACTGCGACAAGTAATTTCCATAGGCTATTGAATCCAACTGTACTCCATTAAGGGAGTTCTGCATTGACCGTAACAAATGGTAGTCCGATGGTGCAGGGTCAGGGCTATATAGTAGATGCATCACAACTTCCCAACCAAACTCTCCCAGTTTTTGCCGAGGCATCAAAGATGTGTATGGTCTAGCATTGTCCTGATGGAAGACGAGGCCCTTTCTGTTGATCAGTTTTGGCTGTTTTTTTTTTTTTTGTTTTTTGATTGCTTGCTTCAATCTCATCTACTGTTGA